TGTCTTTTTAAAGACGAATTTCATGCTACGATTTTTTTTCTGACGTATATTCTCAAGTTAAAGTTGATTTCATGTAATCATGAATGAACTATCTTATAAGTAAAGTCGTCCCAGGAGCGCAACTCAACAATATTGGCAATATCATTTTAAAGTCGTCTACTTTAAAATGCATAATGTATGTCTGAATTGTCAATATAAATGAGTCAGAAAAAATTAAATTAGTAGAAGAATTTTTCACTATGTAACAAAAAACAAAATTTGTTTAATTTACTGTTATTTTGAGAACGATTTCCGAAGTGGAAATTGAAACGTCAATAAACGTATTTTTATCTTTAATTGTGGCTTATTCCCAGTTTAATAGTAATTAATTTACAATGCCACAAGAAAATAGCTTCAGAACAATATATCCACCCTATAGCCCCGACCTAAGTCCCAACAACTTCTTCAATTGGTTTAAACATATGCAAAAGTTAGATAAGGATAAATGCTCGAATAAATTAATTTTAATCAAATATAAGACAGATATCGAACACAGCTTTTATTAAATCTTGACCAAGTACTTTCGCTCCTAGAGCATCTGAAATAAGACAAGAAACATTTTTTCAGCTAAAGAAAAATTCTCAAAATTGATGGTTGATAATTTTTTTTACAATATAACGTTTTAGACTGACTTCGTGAAAATTAGGCTATTAAACAATAATGGTGAATGTCATAAACATTAACTGATAAATTTATACAACACGAGACAAAGAACACATATTTAAAAATTATTATAAATTCGAAGAAGCTGCATATTGGGACATCAGGAGAGAGAATGGCTCCTGGTCTTAACGTAAATCTTAAAGTGATGTCTGACATATGACAACTTGGATGGGCAGTCACAATCATGGAGATATGATCTGCACATTTGAACATTCTATGAAACTGCACATTGACCAAAGGTAAAACTGACACTACTATAGAAAGTCGACTTATGAAATATGAAATTCTGTACATTACTTTATGTAGATTGCATAATCCAGATCTCACACTTAAACCTGTCAGTAATAATTTATGTGTTAGTTTTAGGGCAACTGAAGTGGACGTAGAGTATGCATATAAGAAAGACTACTACAGAAAACCTACTCAAACAGATCATGTTATATATGAAACATCTAATCATACAACCCTACATAAAATAGCTTCTTTAAACAGTTATATTTATAGGCTACGCAAATTTCCACTTTCTAATAAAAACTTCAATTCAAAACTTATACTCTTAAGCAAATTGTTTTCAATAATGGTTATGATACCAACATTATCCATGAGTTTCTAAATAGAGCTCAATTTAAAATTGCACAAAAGCTTTGCTTATTCATCATAACGTTAGCTTTAACCCAACGCCACAAGTAATATCAGATATGTCTCCTTTACTTATATCAGCAACATTTTCAAAAAATATCAAAACTTTTTAGTTGAAGACATCAAAATTTCCTTCAAGTCACACAACACTTTAGGTTCCTTTTTAATCAACACCAAAGATAGGATTAACACTCTTGACAAAATTTATATTTATAATATTTATATTTATATATTTATAGTATTTATAAATTAAAATGTAATGATTGTGATGCCTCTTATGTAGGTTAAGTTATCTACTAAAATCACAGAACATTTAAAACGACCACACTCTTCAAGTTTTAGTCACCATTTATTATATAGTAAGCATAATGTAAACAAGACTTTTTCATCTATTTTACATGACATTGGTAGAAAGAAAAACTACTTAGAGCTGGATTTATTGGAAGATTTGGAAATTACAAGGGAAACAAATGAAAACTCTCACTGTCTTAATACTCAAATTAATTAATTGTACTAAATTTAAACCTATTTTTAAAAACTTTATTGCAGCTTCACCTCGTAAGAGACCCAGCCCGACTATTTAGACTTCCTGCACTGAATATACCCATTAATAATTTATTAATTTCATATTTTAATTAATATGACTATTTCATTCTTCAATAACTTACAAAACAAGCTTGTTCAGGATCAATTGATCTATAGTTGGCGTTGATTACACTCACCATATCTCTTCGTAATTTAGATATACCATCTATACAGGTGTATATTTCAATATCAACCACAACAAAAAGAAATAAGCAAATAATAGCTATTAACCTAGATAAGCTTAAAGAAGAATCCACTAGTAATAAAATACGGGAAGAAATACATAGACACTTGAGTAACAGAACAGTACAATCGACACATACTCCCGAGAAAGAATGACACTGTATTGAGAAAACACTTACAAGAGTAACAGAAGACTACCTCAAACAAGATACACGAAAAAAGAACAAACCATGGATGACAGAAGAAATTCTAAACATGATCGACGAAGGAAGAAAATACAGAAGTAAAAATGAAACAACATACAAGCAAATACACAATAATATCAGAATAAAGATCCAATAAGCCAAAGAAACCTGGCTTAGTGAAAGATGTCAAGAAATTGAAGAGTTGGAACAAAGACATGATACTTTCAATCTACATAAAAAGTAAAAGAAGCCGCTGGAATATTTAAACAAACTCAAAGAAAGAAATTATCAAAGCGGCAAATCAGTTAAAGAATGGAAAAGCTGTTGGGGAGGATAATATCCCAATTAAAATAATAAAGATATTACTAGACGAACACATCGAAGTAATGGAAGATATATTTAACAAAATATACGAAACAGGCATAATACCAAATTGTTGGCTGACATCGCCTCGTGTTCTGGTCAAACTCAGTTTGGTTTTAAGAATGGGTTGGGAACAAGAGAAGCACTTTTTTCAATGCGTGTGCTAGTTGAAAGATGTAGACATGTCGATTCTGATGTATACTTGTGTTTTATAGACTTTCAGAAGGCGTTTGACCTGGTGAAACATGATAAACTAATAGATATTTTGAGGTCAAGTAATATCGACGATAAAGACTTAAGAATCATTTCAAACCTCTACCAAGAACAAAAAGCTAAAATCAGAATAAAAAGCGAAACATCTGGAAAAATCAATATTTCCCCAATTCTCCCCGAGAAGGGAGTACGACAGGGATGTGTCCTATCACCTTTGCTGTTCAATGTTTACTCTGAGAAGATATTTCAGAAAGCTTTGGAAGGCACCACGGATAGTATAATTATAAACGGGCAATGTATAAATAACCTGCGATATGCTGATGACACTGTCATACTTGCAGATAATGCTGAAGCCCTGCAACGCTTAATGGACCGAGTAACGATAGCCTCTAGAGAATTTGGAGTGAAATTGAATACAAAGAAGACAAAAACGATGGTCATCAGCAAGCACCAAAACCGAAGGGTGAAGGTCAATGTCGACGGAACAGATCTGGAAAAAGTAACAAGAACAACGTATCTTGGAAGTTATCTTGATGAAAGTTGAGGCCACTCACTAGAGATAAGAATACGCCTGTAAAAGGCACGTACAATGTTTTACAAAATGCAAAAAGTTCTATGCAACCGCCAGCTGGGCATCTCATTAAGAACTAGAATACTTAGGTGCTATGTTTTCTCCACCTTGCTCTATGGTGTTAAAGCCTGGACAATGACAGAAGCAACACAAAAAAGAATCCAAGCATTTAAACTCTGGTGTTACCGTAAAATGCTCAGAATATCCTACATGAGCCATACGACAAATGCGGAAATCTTGCGGAGGATGAATAAGGAAAGAGAGCTTATGCTTATAATAAAAGAACGGAAAACACAATATTTTGGTCACATCATAAGAAATCAAAAGTATGAACTGCTCCAACTTATAATCGAAGGCAAATTTAATAGCAAAAGAGGACCAATGGACGAACATGACCTCCATAGAACTATTCAGGGTTGCTACAAATAAGATTAAATGGGCAAATGTAATGGCCAACGTCCTTAAGGATAAGGCACCGTAAGAAGAAGACCACTGTTGGTCAGTTGGTCTTGAGTAATGCTTTGACATTTTAATTTTATGGTTTTCCCATTGACTGTGGGTTTAACTGGACTATTGGTATTATACCTTATTTATACACATTTCTTTCAATTTTGATTTTTAAGTAGAAGTCTTTCAATTTCATAGTTCGATTTTTTCTTTTCTACATTATTGGTAGTGCTTGGTAGACCTTTTGATTGCAGTCAACCACCCACTCTATAATATATTGTTTAGTCTATTTCTTAAATTTATATTCTAAGTCCACTTTAGTTGCCCCAACACTAACACACAAATTATTACTGACAGGTTTAAGTGTGAGATCTGGATTATGCAATCTACATAAAGTAATCTGTATAATTTCATATTTCATCGATTGACTTCCTATCGTAGTGTCAGTTGGATCTTGGGTCAATGCTCAGTTTCATAGAGTTTTAAAATATGCAGATCACATCACCATGATTGTGACTGCCCATCCAAGTTGTCATATGTCAGATGTCACTTTAACATTTCCGTTAAGACCAGGAGCCATCCTCTCTGATGTCACCCAATATGTAGCTCGAATTTATGATAATTTTTAAACTGTTTGTTCTTTGTCTCGTGTTGTGTAAATGTATCAGGTAATGTTTAAGACATTCACCATATTGTTGGATAGCCTAATTTTGACGAATAAGTCTAAAACGTTATATTACAAAAAAAAATTTATCAACCATCAACTTTGAGTTTTTTCGAAGTTAATTAATTTTTCTTCAGTTAAAAAACGTTTCTTGGCTTATTTCAGATGCCCCTGAAGATGCTCTAGGAGGGAAAGTACTTGGGCAAGATTTAATAAAAACTGTACTCGATATTTGCCTTTTATTTGATTAAAATTTATATATAAAAATGTTGGTATTGATATTGGTTGGACATATTTTGTCGAAGTAGAAATTGAAACGTCAATAAACGTATTTTAACATTTAATTGTGGCTTATTCCCAGTTAAATAATAATTAAAGTACTTTGAGTTTATATATTTTTTGTCTTGGATATATGAAAAACTAAAAAGTCAACCCTCGTATAACTTACATTAGTTAGTTGACCAAAACCAAAAGGTTTAAAGTAGGACTCGTCATAATACGGGCTGGATTTATACAAATTTACGACATCAGGACATCTGTGTCCATGTCGGAAGAGCTGAAAATAAAAAAATGTATATTTATAAAACAATATTTTTCACCAGGTTAAAAAAATTTATAATTTAATTTATTTGCCACATTTTGTATTTGTTTAAAATAAACAGGTACAATTATTTAATACCTAATATTTACTCTAATGTTGCTCTTATTAAAGTTGAGTGATGCAAAAGAACGCAACCAGCGAAAAAGTGTCAAGCGATCATAACAACAGGTTTAATAGTATGCTCCTTTTATTGAAGCCAAAGTAACAGGATCTTCTGTTGGTGGTCCCATATAGGTTTCCCTTTTGCGTGCCAGTGCTTCTCAATTTCATAATATATACTACTTTAAAGTTCCTAATCTCTCTAATTTCCTTTTGTGTGTATAGGCGATTGGTGGTTGAAGGCAAGGTGGATGGTAACACCACTCGAGTAAGATAGCCAATCCGATGGTCAGACCAAATAAAGTACGCTACCGGGTACTCTCTATCTGAGGCAGCACACCGCGCACAGGAGAGAGAAGAATGGATAGCAACCATTCGTCAAATACCATAACGTCACCACATCCTTACGAAGCATAAAGGATAAAGGAGGAGGTACAGGAGATCATGGTAGCTTTATGGAGACATATTTGACCTTTTCCTTATAAGGTATTTGTCTTACTAGTTCAAGGTCGTCGTTCATACGATCTCTAACTATCGTATTATACCTTCCTTTCAAGATGATTACGAAATCATCTGCAAATTTTGTATTACCAATTGCCTTTAAAGTCTCTATTAGTCTGTCTATTATTAGATTCTACAGCAGCGTTGTTAGAACTCCTACCTGCGGGTATCTTCTGACGACCAGAATAAGAGGGACTTTCCAAGAAGCGGTTTTTGTAATTATAGAAGGCACATTTATTAATGAACTGCCAAATTCTCTTTCTAATACAGCACCATCAAAAGGAATATTTGTTACCATATGCAACTGAATCAAGGCAATGCTGAAAAATAGGTTAATTCTAACAGATCTGCAAGGAGAGGAGAGGTTAGCCAAAAGAGCTAAGCTAATAGGAAACTGTGCCTTCTCCTGTCCTGTGATAACTCCTAGTACATGGGGTTAGAGGTGGAGGCCTATCCGGATGATCTAGTCATTATGTTACGAAGAAAATATGGTAATTTTTTCCTCTTAAAATAACAATAACATCTGGATAACTGCTCTATATGAAGAAACTGGTAAACAAGTGAATGAGGTCAAATATCTAGGAGTAATTCTAGATAAGCGGCTTACATGAAACGCTCATTTGGTAGAATAACCAATAAAGCAAAAATTTCTCTTTGGACATGTTAAAAGATATGTAGAAAAATATGAGGTATAAAACCCAAACAGATGTACTGGTCATATAGGACTGTATCAGACCTATGATTACATATGGAACACTAATATGGTGGAATAAATGTCAACAAAAGATCACCAAACTAAACTAAAGAAGCTTTAACTGCAAGCATACATATAGTATAATATAAATACATATAAACAGTAGAGATGTCGACTACCACAACCGCCTCCAAGGAGATCACGCTTGACTTCCCTTCATTACATATATGAATGAAGAAGGAAGCTAAGATAGGAGCATACAGAAGATGGATAAGACGACGGGAAGTAGGGCAAAAAGATACTGGGATCAAATCTAGAAAGATGATTAAAAATCACCTAGAGTTATCAACCAATCTAAATATAATTTGGAAAACCCCTTTCCTATCCTCTATTAAGGAAAAGGTGAATAAAAGTCGAATAAAACTAATCTCATAATGGCAATTAATACAGACGGATCTAAAACCGATGAAGGAGTTGGAGCTAGGGTATGGAGAAAAGTCAAGGCTTAGCCTTAACGAAGGCTTAGGTAATCACAATTCTATTTTCCAAGTGGAAAAGAATTTCTGACGTATATTAATGGGATCATTGTTTAGTTTGTTTGAAGTAGTATTCGGTAACTTACTGGTTTTGTGATTATTGAAAAAAGTATTTTTAATAAAAAAGCTTCTTTTAACCCTGCTGTCTTATTTTGCAAGTTATTACGCGGCGTAACGTTTTCGTGTTTCGTGACTTTATTACCTAATATAAGGTCTTTCAATTACATACGAGATCAAAAATCAACTTCCTGATTTTTTTAATAAAAATTAAATTGTTACCTACAGTACGCTCGGGTCAATATAACCCACCTATTGAAACCGTTAAATATTACCTGTTTACGTATGTTTAGTTGGCAGTATTTTATATATTTTCTAACAATTTATTAGTCAGGTACCTCAATAAATAGAAACAAGTTTCTGAAAGCTAGAACTTGTACAAACGTGTAGTGTAGCTGGATGATGCTATTTAGAAGGGCATGTCACGTAGAAGGAAGTGGGGTAGTAGAAGACAAGTGGTAGGCTGGTAGGACATTGATATGCCAACCGCATTCATTTACATTACAAATTTCAGTCTATGTTTGCATTTTGATAATGTCGCATCGAAGAACGCTAACCGAAGATGAGCTTTGCGAACCTAGCGAACGAGCCAGAGAGTGATGAGTGCATATATTAGAAACAAAAAACAATACAAGTAGCACAAATAAGCCAAAGCTTCCAGCACAAATTGCGAATGAAGAATTCATAGTTCGTCTATATTTTTAAAAAGGATAAAAATGTTACCCCTATGAGTATCATGATAGTACTATTAGTCCTATCATGATAAATGTTACCCCTATGAGTATCATGATGGGACTATTACTTCATGAGATGTGGAAATACTCAGACACTGACAGAAATGGCACATCCCTTGTGGAATGGGCAGAGGAACATGGTGCCCACCTTCTATTCGACGCCAAAGATAGAGGCACTTTCAGATCTGCGGCCTGGAGGAGAGAATATAACCCTGATCTCTGTTTTGTTACCATTGACAACAAAGGCCAACCGCTAGCAGCATCACGTAGGGTTATGCCTGACTTTCCACATAGTCAACATCGCCCCGTCCTAATCAAGATCGGTATTAGCATTCCGATTATAAGATCGTTCCCACGCCCCAGATGTAACTTCAAGAAAGCTAACTAATCTGCTTTCACCAGTAACCTTGACAAATGCCTAGGATGGATTCCACCAAAAAGCCAGAACTACGGGAGACTAACAGGAGCAATAATCACCTCAGCAAAAGCGACAATCCCTAGAGGATACCGCAAAGAATATATCCCTGGTTGGACAGAACAGAGCGAAAAACTGTATGAAGAATATTGCGAAGATGGAAAGCAGGAGATTGCAGACGAACTACTCCACAGCATCGATGCTGCCAGGCGTGAAAAATGGACACAGACAGTAGAAAACCTAGACTTCCAGAAGTCAAGTCGACAAGCTTGGTCCCTACTGCGGAAACTCGGAAGTAGCAACCCACCCGTTCGCCAAACCAACCTAATAACTCCAGACCAAATAGCTACGCACATAGTGTCAACCTCTAGGGCACCTCAAAGTCGTTTACATACAATTAAAGTTAAAAAAGACCTCAAAACCATAAAATCTAGTCTTGCACAGTCAACAGAATATTCCAACCCATTTATGCATGAAGAAATATCGCAAGCCCTAAATGAAATGAAAACGGGAAAAGCGCCGGGTTTCGACGCCATTCACGCTAAGTTCCTCAAACATAGCGGCAGATTCACTAGGCAGTGGCTCGCAGAATTCTTTTCTGACATCCTTCAAACGGGAAACGTCCCCCACCAACTCAAAAATGCAAAGATCGTCGCCATTTTAAAACCAGGGAAAAGTAATAATTCACCGAAAAACTACCGCCCCATCGCACTCTTAAGTACGGTGTACAAATTGTTCGAAAGACTGTTGTATAATAGAATGAGAAAAACCATATTCCAACACTTACCAGTGGAACAGGCAGGATTTCGGCCAAACCGCAGCTGCACAGACCAGGTACTCGCCCTGACCAATTATGTGGAATCAAACTTTCAAAAGCAATCAAAAACAACCGCTGTCTTCATCGATCTATCTGCTGCTTATGACACTGTGTGACGACAAGGGGCAATATATAAATTAATGCGAATAATCTCATGCAGAAAGACCACTGAGGTTATTAACGCCATGCTATTCAACAGATGCTTTAAAGTTATATTGGGAGACAAGACTAGTACCCAAAGAAAACTGAATAATGGACTTCCACAAGGATCCGTGCTGGCTCCCATGCTTTTCAGCCTCTACATAGCAGACATGCCAGAAACCACATCAAAAAAGTTTGGATACGCAGACGACTGGACGCTTGCCGCAAGTCATAAAGAATTCGAGGTCACTGAACGCATTCTAACAAACGATTTAAATGCCCCAGGGAATTATTTCCGCAAATGGAGATTGCAACCCAATCCAACTAAGACAGAAGTGTCCTGCTACCATTTGAACAACAAGATGGCCAACTATCAACCTCAAATCAATTTTGGGGATAGACTCCTTAAATATAATAAACACCCAAAATACTTAGGTGTTACACTTGACAGAACACTGAACTTTAAAGAGCATCTTACTAAGACTGCTGCAAAACTCCGAACTCGTAACAACATCCTACAAAAGCTCTGCGGCACTACATGGGGCTCCTCAGCACTTAGATCGACAGCATTAGGACTGGTATACCCCGTAGCGGAATACTGTGCACCAGTATGGATAAACAGTCCACACACTCACCGTGTTGATGTCCAACTCAACCAAGCCATGCGAACTATATCGGGTACAATCAAGGCCACTCCCACTTACTGGTTACCAGCTTTGAGTCATATAGCTCCACCACCCATCCGCCGGGAACATGGCCTTGTCAGAGAATTTACAAAAATCAATACTGATCCTGAGCTCCGCTCCCATGTCGAAACTTCCGCCAGAGACATAAATAGGCTCCGTTCAAGACACCCGCCTCTAAAAACAGCAAAAAGGCTAGTAGATCAAAACTTTTATGTAACTGAACGGTGGAGAGAACAATGGGAGAATAACGCTGCACCAGCTAACTGGAACATGCCATGTATTACAAGCAAACCTGAGGGCTTCAACCAACCGAGACGAGTTTGGACCACACTCAATAGAATAAGGACGAACTGTGGCAGATGTTCCGACTCACTTTTTAGATGGGGAAAAATACAATCACCAAATTGCGACTGCGGCGCCGAAAGGCAAACAGTAAAACACATGGTAGAGGAATGCCCGATTATATCCTATAACGGCAACCCTTCAGATTTCCTGGCTGCTACAAAAGAGTCAATCGAATATATTTATAATCTAGATGTTTGTTTGTAGAATAATATTTTTGTATTTACTGTTGTTTTTTAATTTATATAATTTATATTATATGTATATATATATATATATATATATATATATATATATATATATATGAACCTGTGATGTAGCCATACGCTAAATAAATAAATAGGAGTATTAGTGACAGAAATGACAAAAATCCCCTAATTATTTTTGATTACAATTCCAGTAAGGGAGCAGTGGATACTCTAGATCAGCTTGTTGGTACATATACATGTAAGAGGAAGACAAATCGCTGGCCTATGATTGTTTTTTTTTATATAATATGTTGGATATTTCTACCCATAACACGTTTGTTTAATAGACATCAATAAATCCTCAATGGAACACCAACAAACTTACAAAACGACGAATTTTTCTTGAGGAATTGGGAAAAAACACTGGTGAAACCACTTATTCTTTCCAGGAAAAATTTATTAAGAATTAAAAGTCCCACAAGAACTGGTAAAAAGAACACGAACAGAAGCGGATAGGGAAGATGGAAATTCTAGTGAACCGTCTATGTACTATCCAACTCCGCCTGCTAAACAAGTACGCTGTAAATTTTGCTCTAAAAACGATACCAGGACTAATATTTTATGTTGTATATGTCACAAACATATTTGTAAAACCCATTCTATTTATTACTGTCCTAGTTGTAAACTAAATTAAAATTTGTAGGTATTTGTTCTTAGGATTTTAAACAAAAACATAATTTTTGTTTAACTACATAAATTATGTTTAATAACATAAATCTTATTTTATTTCGATTAAGGACCGTAAACCATAGTTGGGTTATATTGACCCGAACGAACAGTACATTTGCATAGTTGACTCGAACGTACAGCACGGTTAAAACAATAGTACATTGTTTACCGGGTAGGAAAAGCTTAACATTCCTGGACGACTGTGAAGATTGCTAAGTCGAGGCGCAAGCCGAGACTTAGCAACACAGAGTCCAGGAATGTGGCTTTTCCTACGAGGTAAACATACTATTTTTCCGCAAATCGTTTAAAATTCGACAGATATTGATTGATTTAAAAAAAAAACGCGATAATTGTATTCCCAAATAAATGGTGCTTTGAAATTCCTAATAAAATTACTTGGGTTGATGATAAGTGATGATGATAAGTGATGATGAAATTTCCATTCCTGGGACTCCTCCAGAGCTGGTTGAGGCAGTGAATACTGCTTCATTAGAATTATTGCCAAAGAAATCAAGAGAAAAGTACGAAAATGCATACAGACGTTTTATGGATTATCGCATGAGTAAAAATACGAGTTCTTTTTCAGAAAATGTTGTAATGTCATACTTCCTAGACCTTTGTTTAAAGATGAAATCTTCAACATTATGGGCCAATTATTCAATGCTGAAGTCAACCCTTGCACTTAAACACAATGTAGATATATCTACATACTCAAAACTTCGTTCTTTATTGAAACGGCAAGCTCAAGGTTATATGGCAAAGAAATCTAAGATTTTAACGAAGGAAGAAATTGAAAAATTTATCCAGGAAGCTCCAGATAAAGAAAATTTAATGATTAAGGTAATTTACAAGGTTTTAATTTCTATTTAGATTATACCTTTATTTATTTTTTAGGTGGCTGTAATATTTGGTATTTCTGGGGCCTGTATAATGGATGAGTTAGTCCGAATGACTGTACACGATATAGAAGACTTAGAATCTAATCTTTTAATCAGCATACCTGATTCGAAAACCAACAAACCAAGATCATTTGTAATTAATCAGATCTACTTGAATGTTTATCGAAAGTATGTTTCGTTAAGACCAGAAAATATGAACAGTGACCGATTTTTCTTTAAATATCAAAGCGGAAAGGGTTGTAGACAAGTGGTAGGAATTCATCAATTTAGAAAAATGCCCAAAATAATTGCTACTTATTTGAACTTGGTAAATCCGACAGAATATACTGGTCACTGCTTTCGTCGGTCTTCTGCAACAATATTGGTTGACTCTGGTGCCGACATAACTAGTTTAAAGAGGCATGGCGGAAGGAAGTCATCAAACGTTGCTGAAGGATATATCGAAGAATCGCTTAACAATAAGGTTGAGGTGGCAAATAAAATTTTCACAGTAAAAATATTCAACAAAATGACACTTCCACCCTGCATGTTGTCCAAAATGTTTCTCATAGTTCTAAGAGTGTTCCTTCAATGTTTAATAATTGTACTAACTGTCAAATTACTGTAAATATAACAAATTGATCTTAAAAATGTATTCAGCAATGACTTGATGTTTTCAAAATATAAATTAATTCCTTATAAGCAATGTGTTTTCTATCATTTATGTAGAACACTAACAACTGTACGGAAATATCATTTCCTTACAGTAAGAAATGACATTTCCTTACAGTAAGGAAGTCCTGACTTTTTCTTCAAGAAATTTTGACAGGACTGTCAAAATTTCCTGGCGATTTGCGGAAAAAGTATTTAAATAAAAATTATATCCTATTGTCAATAACGAAAGTAAAATCAAGTCAGATATAATTTATAAACTCAATTGTAAATATTGTAGTTTATTGTGTATTACAAAGACCCATCAGTATTTACAAAAAGTAGATAAAGAACTTAATACATCAAAAAATATATTAAACATTGCCATCTAAGATCACTAGACCATGTAATGTGGATTAATGAAACTGTCCCAGTAGAAGACACGATTTTACAAAGAGAATGCAGACAATTATGCTTTCTGATTTATAATATTCCATCCTCAAATATTCAAATTACAGAAATTTATTTCTGGAAGATAGAGGTATTTTCAAATATTTTATCGAACTATATTTTATTGTATAATATAAGATATTGCCCTAATCTAAATAAATTGATTTATACTGCAATTATAGGTGTCTAACTGATATGTATAAATTGGAGATATACTTACCACATGTACTGCTACAAGACTTTTATCATTTCCTTGCACACAATAAAGAATACAGAGCAATATAATTAAAATCATGATTTATGTTCGGAAGATTAAACTACTAAATATATTTGAATAGTAATTAATACTGTATTTAAACATTTAATTTCCTAAGAATTTCTTAACATGTTTTGATTGCACTTCTAATTAGATGTTGATAGCTTATATTTTAATAAATTTTTTTAGACGGTGAAGGATGGCGACAAGTGGAAATATTACATTCGAAAGATAAAAATACTTTTGAATATCAAAAATTTCTGTAAACAACTAATTACTTACTTTTTACAATTTGCAGCAGCTAAAAAATAAATATATATTTGTTAAACAATTGATAAACCTAGCTAATTTCAAGGATGATTGGTTTAGCAAAAAAGGGATGATTTCAAATATATATATATATATATATATATATATATATATATATATATATATATATATCTATATATATATATATATATATATATATATATATATATATATATATATCTATCTATATATATATATATATATATATATATATCTATATATATATATATATATATATATATATATATATATATATATCTATCTATATATATATATATATATATATATATATATATATATATATATATATATATATATATATATATTACTACGAAAAACAAGCCCCAAAAAGAAGTGTATTTGAAACTCCGCAATTGCCAAAGAAAAAAAAAAAGAATGAACGTACTGCTGCATCTGTGGTTATGGATTATCTCCTAAAATCCGAAGAAAAAGACGAAGTTTTTATGGTTTGGCCCAAATTGTAAAAAAGATGCCACCATATTACAGAGCACTGGCAAAAGCAAGAGTTTCTTCAATTGTCGGGGAGATAGAACTACAATCTATTACTCATCCTAATCCACCTGCGATAAGAAATCCATACATCTATCCGGGTAACTATCCTGCCTATAGTGGCCAGCTTAACAATAATAATTCAGCCCAGATTACGCCAATGCATTCACCCCAGACATCGGAATGTTCAACATCAACAAAGACATCTGCAGCATCCAATATCAGAAATTCGAATGAATATGTTTCAGAGAATTTGGTTTTTGATAACGAAAGCATGCAGTGGCGGATCCAGGAAAGGGCGGTGGAGGCAATCGACCCCCCCTCTCAAAACGACTGATGTTTTTTTAATTACAGAGGGTGTCCCAAAAGCAACGGAACGGTCCAATATTACGCGAAATGAACATTTGATTGAAAAACTGAAAAAGACGTTTTCAATCATTTTCAAAAATCTATCGAATGACACCAAACCCCACTCCAGACGCTGGAGGTGGGCTCTTAATTCTAAAGTATCAACTTCGTTTTTTATTGCAGTTTTGGATTCCTTGTGAAAGATTAAATATCATTTATTCGAAATATTTTTTAGAATTGTTGATAGATGGCACTGATGAATTGTATTTTTTCGATTATAGCGCCATTTATAAACAATTCTAAAAAATGTTTCGAATAAATGTTACTTATATTTCATGAGGAATCCAAATCTGCAATAACGAATGGGGGTTTCTCTTTAAGATTTTAAAGGTAGTCCCCACCTCACCTCTAGGGGTTGGAGTGTGGAGTCGTTTTTGGTCTTATTCGATAGATTTTTGAAAATGATTAAATAACGTATTTTTCAGTTTTTCGATTCGATATTCATTTCGCGAAATATTCGACCGTTCCGCTACTTTTGGGACACCCTGTATATAAAAATTTATGTTGCTAATATTAATTTTTTAAGTAGGATTCGTTTGTTCATACTTTATTTTTAAGAAATAAATGAGTTAATTTTGTTAATAGAAAATTTTGCTTTAACTTACCTTAAACACACAGCTAATTTTTCTTTAGGTGTTATGGCTTCTTTAAATGTAGTATTTTGTTTTTTAACTAAAGGTGTAATTAAATTTAAAATATATTCAAACTTAACCCTATTCATTCTAAAATATTCATAATATTTTTCATCGTCATGAATTAATTATTTCTATAAAGTCCAGTATTCACCCTCCTTTTTTCTTTCCCTTAACATTGGATGTACTCCAAACCTCCTTTTTACTACAGTTTTTCTTTCTTCATCATCAAGTAGAAGCGCAATTGCACATAAGTTTCTATTAACTTATTTATGTCTATTGTATCGTAGGCAGCTTTGTAATCAATGGAAAGTACTTGTGCTGAAATATTGTATTCATAGCAATTGATCAGGATTTGTTTTAGCATAAAAATTTGATCGGTTGTTGATCTTCCTTTCCGAAAACCTCCCTAGTATTCTCCTAGATTCTTCTCTGTATATATTTCTAATCGTTTTTTAATTAGTATGGCGAGTACTTTATATATTACCTGTAATAAGGCTATTCCTCTATAGTTTGCGCATTCAGTTCTATCTCCCTTTTTGTGTATAGGAATTATAATCGACTTATTCCATTCTTGAGGCATTTCTTCGGCACCCCATACTTCTAGTATTAGCTCACCAAGTTTGTTTATTAATTCCTCTCCTCCATATGTTATGTTCTCTGCCAGATTGCCGCTCTCCCCGGTGCTTTTTGATTTTTCATATCTTTTATTATTTCTTTAATTTCTTCTCTTGTGGGCTTTGGTATTTCTTCTATTACTATTTGAGGTTTAGGAACATAACAATTTTCTTCAGTAGTCACTTCGTCATTTAGTATCTCTTCGAAATATTCTTTCCACCTTTCACATAATTGGTCTTCGTCCACTATCAGGTTTCCTTGCTTATCTTTTATAATCCGACAAGCGAGAGCTGGCGGGTGAGCTGCGCGAAAATAGAAAAGGAATTATTCTAAGAGAGATAGGAGAGGTACTTAATCGCGATTATAGGTATATAGTATAGGTACTGAAACGGTTATACACGATGTGAACTCCTAGCCGACTTCAATAGAAATGAGCAATTCCTTCCACTTTTCAATTTGTTCTACGCGCAACCCGCCAGCTCTCGCTTGTCGGGTTATACATTCATAGTTCTTTTCTGGTAACCAATTTTAATGTATTTTACCTCTTTATAAGAAAATTTTATTTCATTTTTCTTGTAGTTTTCTTCAATACACTTTATTTTATCATCCATATACTTTCGTTTCCGCTCCCTTAGGATTCTTTTTACTTTTTTTCGTTGTTCGGCATACCTTTCTAGGTCGTCTTGTTTTTGCGATCGTAAACTTTTTAATCTCAAATCTGATCTTTTTTTAACTCTGTACTAAATTCGTCATCGAACCTGTGGTTTTTTCTAAATCTTTTTGTTCTTGGTATGTTTTTCGACGTAGCTTCCTTTATAGTGTTTGTCATTTTCAAGAACTTTTGTTGTATGTTACCCACAGTAGTACTTTCTTGTTTGGCGTAAGCCTCTTGTATATCCTTTTGATAATTATGCGCTACCTCAAATTTTCGCAGTTTTTTAAAGTTAAATTTACGTTTCACTTTCTTTTTCCGTTTATGCTTTTTAATTATTGCTTCTCATATTAATTTTAACCAAAAAATTATCTGAGTCTACATCAGCCCCTCTGCACGTTTTCACATTTGTTATTATTATATATTTGTTTTATTATATATAATAAAACAAGTAGGTATATTGATTATAAACTTGGATCAATTCCAAAAACTTACACAAAAGTGTCTGTTCTAGTTGCAAATAGAAAAAAAAAAGATTTAAAGAAACTAATCGATTTAAATTATTAATCTCCTATGTACTTTACTTGTAAAACAAAAGTTTAAAGGAGTACTTACACTTACAAACATTACGTCTACCCATCAATTGTAAAAGGAGCACACGATCAATTTGCATATGGAATTAGACTGATTCTATATCATTAGTAGATATTGTTAGCAAACAAACAACTGCACGTTTTCTCTGGCAGGTAGGAAAATATTCATTAAATAGACTACTTAGTTCTCACGTAATTTATGGTTGGATGTTATAAAACTTTTTTACCTATTTTATATCAATCTTATTCATGAATATTTTCTTATTCTAAATAATTAGCTGTTCTTTTGTAGTATGTGAATAATCCAGTGTAAATTAACACTTTGCAAACTCTGAAATCCAGTATAACGCTAACGGTAGCTCGTACTTGATAGCTCGACTAGACTAGAATATTTTATTTTATTCAGATGAGCATATTTCATACAGTGTAGGTAAAAGTTTATTGTCGGTATGGTAAAATTTAACAGGATATCTAACACAGATATATCTAAATGATATTTTCAGCGAATAGACAAAGAGAAGATAACAATCATATTTCCCCTTGGTCTCCCCTTCACATTTCTGATAGACGGCCATTAGTGATACGATTAGTTTCGATCAGAGATATTTTACATATCTCTGGTTCCGATCCAGCTTATACCTAAGAATCTAGAGGTGGGTGTATATATAATGGTGGGATATAATGTGTTCACAAGGAATAGATTTTGTTACAATACTACAATATTTTATGAACATAGTGGTTAAGTTAGGATATACATGGCGATGGTTTTTCCACTACTGTTCCAATCAGTTCAGATCAGTTCCAATCTCCGTTCGACATTTTTTGTGGGTAATATATTATCAGACAAATACATGTCGACTTCTTTTATATCTCTCGATACATGTGTATGTTTATACACCTGTATCGATACACCATGGACTTAAGTCATCTTTATTAGTTTCTTTATCTTGTACTGGTTGATGTTTAATAATATCAAAGAATATAGTCTATATTCTTTGATAATACAATCATCTTTTTCTTTTTTTATAGAAGTAACCAGCTTCTATACTCTTTCTTTTGTTTTTTTACCTTCATTTTTATCAGAAAATCCCTGCATTTTAAACCATTTTTTGTCATTTACGATTCTACGGTTTCTCACTGGTAAGCCAACTAGTTGATGGTTGATTCAAAAAAACTACGTTTTGTGTAGACGTAAACAGAGAAGCAACGAACACTTTACGTCGACGAGGACGATTAGTTGATCTGAGAGACTACTACAAAACTAAAAATAACATGCGGCTCTTTCGGGACAGTGGACAGTCGGGCTATCGGTTGACGTTGAAAATAAAATAATCATGTATTCTGATTAATGAATGAGTTTCGATTTTCGATTGATCTATATTTTCGATTTCAAATATTTATTGATAGTTCGTTAAAGGATGTATTTATTGTAAATATTTAATTAGGATTTCTTTTTCTTAGTCAACTTAGTCGACTTAGTCGACTTTCTAGATATTGCAATGATTGAAACTTCTCCTGACGCATTTCTGTCCGTTTTGACTACTCCTACTATAATTACTAGCATACTGCCACCGCCATTCAAGCGTCAAAAGGTGATGGATACTTACTTACATGAATAAAAATATTAGTTTAGAATAAAAGAAACAAATAGATATGGATTTACTAAACCTATGCAAAGACTCGTTTTATCCGTTTTTAATAGTTGAAGAACCAGCTTTTAAAACGTTTGAAGGGTGGATTCCCGGATATAAACCGCCAACAAGAAAAACTTTGTCAGGGTCATTACTTCAGGAATTTTATCTCAAAATTGAGCAAATTATTAGATCACAAGTTGTTAAAGAAGTAGAAAATATCTGTATTACTACTAACCTCTGGACATCTGGAGTAACTGAGAGTTACATCACATTAACAGAACATTATTTAACCCAAAATTTAGAATTTAAAACGGTTTTATTAGACTGCTGCCATTTTTCTGGAAACCATAATTCAAAAAACATCGCTTTTAAAATTAGTGAAATTATTAATCAGTGAGGTCTAAAACAAAAAGTAATTTTTGCAGTAATTGATAATGCCTCAAATATGGTCAAAGCTATTAAAGATGTTTTAGAATGAAAACATTTAAATTGTTTTGCTCATACATTAAATTTATTGGTGGAGGATGCACTTAAATGCTGTCCTGTACAAATAGATAAAATTAAAAGTTTTTTTTTTCGACTTTTCGGCCAAAAACACATTTCATAAAAAACTACCTTATCTTCAAAAAGGCTTCTAAAGTATCAATTACAACATAACAAAGTTTCCAAACGGCCAATCCAAGACGTGGAAACTAGGTAGAACTTCACCTATTACATGTTAACAAGAATGACCGAGTTAGAAGAGGCAATCCGTTCCACAGTGGTATTAGTTAATACAGACTTAGACTTAGACCAAATCTAAATAATGAAGACTGGATTATTTGTTCTCAAAATACTTAAAAGGTAGTTCAGTGATTGTTATGGTACGCTGCCTGCAAGAATCTTGCAAAAAAATTTTAGAAAAGGGTAACTTTTTATATAACTATATAACTATTTTGTATAACTATATATTCAGTCTACCGGAGTGCCGCAGCCAGAGTATATACCACAAATAAGCTAATATTTTTCGTTTACCTAAACAGCCAGTAGTGCTATAAAATATTTTTGTTTAAAATTATTCTTATAAGGAGGCCAATATTTAACAAGACCTGTTATATTATGGTAAAAAATTTCGTAAAAGTTAAAAACAGTGTTTGTTCATATTGACTCAAATATCTATTGTTAATTGTTAGCGAATACTCAAAAATTACCAGAAATAACTTCATCCGTTCTAGTGTATAATATGTGAGTGTGATAATAATTTCTCTGATCGGATTTTCATTTCATGAAAATATTTAAAATCTTTCCGAAAGAGACATATCGAAATACATAGAGACAAGTTTGTCGGCAGAATAATATTTAGAATAAACCTACAAATATGATTACTTTTTGACATCAACAACTTATGTATTAATTTAATATACAAGGACTGATCATTCAACTCCAGAGTATTTTGCATAGTTCAACTAATCTCCATTTATCGTGAATCGTAATCCTAACTTTTGCTGTGTTTCCGATACTCTATTACCTTTATTTTCGGGAGATCACAGCTGCTTTTTTGGAACAAGTTTTGCGTGTTTACTAATTTTTTGATATTTTGCTAGATAAATAATGTGTACAACGGCCAAAGTGGTTGCAACATCTTCTTTGCTAAACTAGATAAACTTCAATCAAAACTTATTAATGGTTTTTTAATGAAAAAAGGGCATGATGAAGGACAGAAGTGTGGTGTATGCTCAAATCGTCGTCCAACCATTAGTGGCGTGGACGAGAAATGCAACAATTCATTTGGTTCGTGTAAAAAATTTAATTGTAGTCGCATAGTTTTTTCCGAGAATATTGACCAAGACACAAAAATAAAAGCCAGTTTAGGGTGGCCACGAACTTCACAACAACAAATGGTGTCAAAAATATTTTAAAATTAATGGAAACGAAACGCAGTTTTATGGCTATGGATCTCATGTCGCACCTTCGCTCTCATGATAGTGAGGAGCAAATTGAAATAGTTATGATTGTGAAAGACAAGTATAAACTCATTAGGAGGCAGCAGTTATTTTTAATAACAGGCATCCGAATAAAAATAGTACCTATACAACAGATACAAGAATTGTAAATAATTTAAAGACATTAGACAGTGCTAATGATCATTTTAATAAAAAAACATCAGAAGATTGTCAATGAGGATACGAAATTACAAGTGATGCTAGGTGTAGTAGAACATCACAAACTGTCATTACGAAAAAAATATCTTTGATCCAAAATAACGAAAGTAGAGGTTCAATGACCAATATTTTACATTAAAGTAAATATCCTCCGTACAACAGTCTAAAATCTTACACTGTGATGTTTGCTTTATTAAACAAAGACTTAGGAAGAGTCCAGCAAGTCCTCCAGACTTAAGCCCTCTGGATTACTGCTTATGAGGCTATTTCAAACAAAGAGTTTACCACAGTTCCTTTTAAAGATATTGATTATTTGAAAAGCAAAATTTCGAAAAATTTCAAAAAATGACTATCATTATAGAAGTATATAACTAAAATTTAATAATTTAACCATCAAATGTATGAAAAAAGATGGTGGCTAGGAGGGGCCTCTAGTAAATTTAAGAATAATTCTAATGATTTCCTATCCAATACTGTTAAGAATACTACTTTTTATTTCTTGTTAATCTATTAGTTAACTTGTTATCTTATGTTTAATTTAAACGATAAATTATTATGATTTAAATGCAGTAATTATTTAAATGTAATAAAAACTTATTACAGAACTTACTAATGAACCGAAAGGTCATCAGGTTTTTAAATAAAATAACTAATGTTTTTGTTAACTCTTACGTAAAATTTACATATTTTTGAGAAATTTCTTACATATAGAAAAATTTTAACATCTGATGATTGGGTTTTAAATACTAGAGCAGGCAGAACTTTTTATAAAGAGTAACTTGTTTTCATAAAACTAAAAATACAATATATAGAAATATATTTTAAAAAAACTCATTTATAGCAGTAATTTCTATGATGGTCCTGTCCTTGATTCCAACAATGAGTCAATCAAATATAAAAAACTGCCCTTGATCAATGGTCTAACTCATTCAGTCATATCCATATTTAAAGATGTTTCCAATATTAATATAGCTAAATACAATACCATAAAGAGCAAACAACTTTTTTCCAAAATTAAAGATCCAGTACCAACCTTATATAAGAGTAATGTGGTATATGAAATACCGTGTCTAGGATGTGAAAAAAGCTACATTGGCCATACATCGCAGTGGCTAAAACAACGTATCACACAGCACAAAAGTGATTGCCGCTTGGGAAAAAATAGTTGTGCAGTAGTCGAGCATTATAAAAACACCGGTCATCTGTTGGACTACAACAATGCTCGTATTCTGGCACAGACTGACAATTACAAAAGTAGGTTATTTTTGGAGATGTACCACATCAACAAAAATAAACAAACTTTAAATTATAAAACAGACACGGGGCAATTAAGCAACATATATTGCAATATATTGAACAAAATTTAAAACTCACTCACCTTAATGATTAATTATACTAACTAGCCTTAATGACTAATTAAAGAAATAATATTCCTCTAATGTTTTTCTTACATTGTTAGTTTTTGCATTTTAAATAACTTTTAGTTGTTTCCATCTCATTTACTTACTATTAACGAACGTGCTCATATATATTTACATTTTAACAAGCTTATACATTATCAAAAAATGTTTATTTTAATATAAAATGTATTTATGTGTGAAATCTTTTAAGTTCTGTAAGTATTGTAAATCTAAGTGTACGTCAGTTTTTTGAAATGTTTGTTTTTTACAGTTACTCCTGATGAAGCTTTTAAATAAAGAGCGAAATATTGAGTTTTAGAAAAAACAAAGGTTTTTATTTAATGTAGACCACATACCCGATATTTCCAACATACTGATAAATTGTTTCTTTGGTCGAAATAATCACGTTAAATATATATATATATATATATATATATATATATATATATATATATATATATACATATATAAATATATATATATATATATATATATATATATATATATAGAAATAATTTATATAAAAAATATAGTTATTTGTTTAACAAAAATTATGTTAAACTTTTGGTTTGGCTCTGTGTTATTAATTTAGGATGCTTATCCAAATAGTCGACCATCAGCTGGTATCTGATCGCTGCCAACTCTTTGTGTCTATTTAATCTGATTTGTAACGTTTTCATAATTAACATAATATTGTTCACTTCCTCGAAGTAACAAGCTTCCTCTTGTTCAGACAAAATATCGTGGTTGGTAGTATAATAAAGCTTCTTTGCTTGCAACCTCTCGTTCATTTTCTCAAAAGTTTTTTGAATGTTATTTGCTCTATTTACTAACAAATCTTTAAATTCTTCCAAACAAGCGTCCCTGGATTCTTTGGCTTGCTTTGGTGTTAATCTCAAAAGAGTGCCTAAAAATGTAAGATGAGGTTTTAGTAAATTAAAAACAAGAATAGTTTAAATTATATATTAATCCACAAGGAATCTATGTTCCTGTAGTTGGCTGTATACCATATATTAAAAAATTTATTAAAAATCCTTTGTAAAATCTATATATTTAGACCCAAACGGGCTAAGTTAAAAAAGACAAAACGTTTTCGGAATCCATATTCCATCATCAGTGTCTAAGAGTACATGAATGTAGCCACTAAATATATGGGTAAAAACCCGTTAACAAATAATTAATTACATTTAGTTTACAAATTTTCTTATAATGGTTTAGGATGTTAAAGTTACCGTTGGATTAGGTAACATGGCGACATATGACTCCACGTTGAAGTTGCTAGTCTTAAGACAGTATGTCTACGAAGACTGTATACTCGAGCAACTCAGTTGCTCCCTTACATTTAGTTTACCCATATATTTACCCATATATTTAGTGGCTACATTCATGTACTCTTAGACACTGATGATGGAAAATGGATTACGAAAACGTTTTGTCTTTTTAACTTAGCCCGTTTGGGTCTAAATATATACCTTTTACAAAGGATTTTTAATAAAATTATATATTGTTGTAACCGCCTTACTTAGTGAGGAATCTACCGATTCAACCTGATTGACGTTGCGGCAGAATTAGATTAGTTATTATTATTAATACTATTACTTTCAACTACATTAAAACGTAACAATTAATAGATTGCAACATTTTTTAACATAATAGTTACTTTATCAAGTGTGCTCCATTTGTGAGTTGACAGTACCCTAATCGATGTTAGAATGCATCTACCACATCTCTCCATGATTGTCCAGAAATTATCCGAGATTCATCGATAATTCGCTGCCCTAGCTCTGCAAGACTTGTTGATTTAGTTTTGTAAACTAAATTTTTCAAGTATCTTTACACCAAAATGAGCTGGAACTCCATCTTGCTGAAACCATATCTGATTAAAATTGGCCCTAAATAAATTTCTCAGTGTAGGTACAATTTTATTTCTAAGTAATATTTCGTAACTATCTGACGTTAAATTTCCTGCGATAAAAAATGGCCCAATTAACTGAGTACCTACTATACCTGACCATACATTTAATGTTTTTGGTCTTTGAGTATGGTTTTCACGCATCCAGTGTGCATATACGTCACTCCATTACCTTAAATTGTGTCGATTTACACTTCCACACAGTGTAAAGGTTGCTTCATGGGAAAAACATATTCTGTTAACGAAATTTTCATCATTTTCGTTTTTATTTATCATTACCTCAGTAAACTATAATCTACGATCCAAATCATCTTCACTTAATTCTTAAAATAAGTTAATTTTATATGGTATAAATTTATTCTTACGTAATACATGTAAGATTGAAGAACAACCTACATCATGCACTTATGCAACCCTGCGTGAGGGTTTATGTGGATCTTCTGGAGAACAAAACTTTGCATTATATCTAAAGTTGTGTTGTCATTTATAACTCTTTTTGGTCTACCTGATCGGTATCTATCTTTTACTTCTCCAGATTCCTCAAATCGCTTTACAGTTTTTTGTACCGTCGCATCGCCTTATAAATAGGAGAACTGTTTGAGAAAGTATCATTGAACAAGTAGATCACTTCATAATAAGATCTTTTTCTGTCACCGTATCATCTCATCATTCGAATACTTATTCGTTCTTTTTCGTTAAGAGCCACATATGGTTAAACTCGTATTGAACAGGGAATTCCAATAATGACTGAATATACTGTGTGATGAATTTGAAAAATAAAAGATACTAATAATATAAGAGAAACGGCAAATTTGGCAACATTTCTAATATGTTAAATTATGTTATTTAAAATATCTATTGACTCGTGTAGTATATAAATATAAGGTAACCTGTATTACTAATTCGCTAGTAACCTCGCTGTAGCACAATTAATCATTAAAGAAATTAATAAACTCGATATAATTTGTGAGCACTGACGTGAAAACTTTTACGTCAAAAAACAATTTATTGCTGTAACTGTTGCCAAGAAACAATGATTATGTTAACTTAACGGTAAAGCTAGCATAGTCATATCTATTTCGGCAATGAAAACAGGTATAGGGTTCATATTGGCGGTATATTTTATTGTTAATTAATTGCTATTGGTATATTAATCAATCTCCAAAAACTACCCTATCATCTCCTAGCTCAAAACACACATTTTTAAAACCAAGCTATTGACCAAAAAACGAAATGCAAGTAATTTATTCGCAAAGTTTTATGCCAAGAAACAACAAGAAAGAATCTGCATCTACCTAGCTCCAAAGAGGTAGCACTAAAACTACTAATTAATACTACTAAATTAAAAATTTAATATAAGAATAAAAATAAAAAAACTTAGCATTACCACTCTCTGCATCTTGCACAACTCAAGAAGAATCAAGGTACAATTTAAACTAAAAAATTATCAAAATAATTTACGCAAAACTAAAAGACAACAATAGTGTGTATTACATTAAATACTCTATCATAATACTTTGTACATATTGTACATAATGTTTCATACATTGTACATATTTATTGCATACATACAAACAGTACTTTGAACATGATCCGTAATATTTGCACTACTGACTAAAAATCCTTCAAAAATCTATATTTAATAATAATTCTTAATATATAAGTAAAAAATGTTACATTTTAAATGAATTTAATGAATAAACAATGATTTACTTATTCTGCTGAGAGTAGCGTGCAGCTTACTTGTCTGATCCAGCCTGATTTTGAGTATTTTCTTTCTGGCGCAATATTAAAAAAAAACTTTTTCAAATATTCAAGAAAGGGCTGTATAGTTTTTGGTGTATATCACCCATCGTATAACAATTTATTGCACAAAAAGTGCATTATTGAACTTCAGCATGGATCGATAGAATAAGACGAAATTTTTGGCCGATATCTCAATTTTCCTGTGATGACGTTTGCGTTAGGGGATGATGGGGTGGGTAACTTTTGGGAATTGGTTAATATACAAATCAACAGCAATTAATTAGCTCTAAAATATGCCACAAATATGGCTCCTGTAGTCTTTTTCATTGCCTAAATGTAGCTATGGCTCTGCTAACTTTACCATAAAATTAGCATAATCGTTGTGTCTCGGAAACGGTTGCAGCAATAAATTATTTCTCGGTATAAAACTTTGACAATAGATTAGCAATAAATTTCCTGCATTTCGCTTCAACAGCAGTTAAATAGCAATAAAATGTGCGGTTACGATGGGCCCTAAGCCCTTTTTCCTTGTCGAGATATAGGCATGGCTATGCTAGCTTTACCGTAAAGTTAACATACCCAGTTTGCACAGAAACTGCTACAGCAATATTTTTTTTTTCGTAATAAATTAGCAATAAAGTGCTGGTCTGAATTAGGTTTTATAAAATGGATATGCTAACTTTCCAGACATCTCTAAAAAAGTCAAAAGTGTATCAGTTGAATAATATCGCAACTCTGCCTGGGGGTTATAAGCGCGATAACTGGGTAAATTGCGTAGCTCAGAATTCGCGTTTATGCCCACAGCCGGTCCCAAGCCCGAATAAAAGAGGAGGGTTGATGGGCCAAGTTAGCATCCTACCTATTGTAAAAGGAAACAAGGCTTAAAGAACCGATATAAAGCCTCGAAACCAGACGGAACCTAAGATGACAAACCACGCAAAGAAAAGGAAAACGAGAAGGAAAAATAAGCCCACAATTACATTAGCAACATGGAACATTACTTCTTTTAGCAACAAAGACCAAGAGATAATAGAAGAACTGATAAATAAAAACATAGACGTTTGTGCAATCCAAGAAACCAAGAAGAAAGGTAAAGGCCAAAGAGAATATAACCAATATTTCCTAGCATACAGTGGAGTAAAGAAAGAAGAACGAGCACGAGCGGACGTAGGTATTTTTCCATAAAAAATTTAAAGAACCTAAATAACTGCTGTTATATCTCCGAAAAACTAATACATATGAACATCACAATGGACTGCCAAAAATTAAATGTCATATCTATCTACAGCCCCGAGGACTGCTAACCTAAGGAGGAACGAGAGGCATTCTACGAACAATTGCAAACCATTCTGGATGAAATACCTCATGAAGAGCCCTTAATTCTTATGGGTGACTTTAATGCACGAATCGGAAATGAAATAGTTCTAGGAGTAAAACACAGATTTATGAAAACCATGTCAACGCAAATGGAGAACTCATGGCTAATCTCTGTGCTTTTAACGAACTCAGAATCAATAATACATTTTGTGACCATAAGCTCCAGTATAAATGTACATTTGAAAACTCCAGGGGGAATAAATCTATGATTGATTTTATAGTCACTAAGAGAAAAATCCACCCAAAGCAATTTCTAGATATCCGAACTTTAAACTTAGCAGACGCAGGAAGTGAACACCAACTAGTACTAGCAAAGATAAGAATGAAAATAATACCACAAACAATTTTCTACAGGAAATTACCGAGAAAAATTCAATGTAGAATCACTGTGGAACGAATCTACAACAGAAATAAACCAAAGGAGGCTAACACAGAAGATACAGCTGAAAGAAACAGACGACATCGAAGATGTAAACACGAGCTGGGAGAAAATTAAAAGCAACATTGAAGAAGCCGCAACAGAAGCTCTAGTAATACTGAACAAAAGAAACAATAACAACACACCATGGTTCAGAAAAGAAATAAAAGAGAAACGTAAGGAGAAACGAGAGGCCTACACGAAGTACAAATCCTCAAATACACCAGAATTCCGAGACAAATATAGAAGAATACGAAATGAAATAAAGGATGGAAAGCGACTTCTACAGTATACAAAAAAAATGGAGATTCATAAGAAACCAACGGAAAGAAAGAGCAGAATTAAAGGAATAAAATAACATACCAGCAAACGAAAGGAAAAGATATCTGACGGAACTGTTTAAAGCAAAGGAAAATAATAATAATAATCAACACAATAACGTACCTGAATTAAA